AGGTGTGGTGGCACACGCCTGTGGTCCCAGCTACTCAGGAGGCTGAGGTGAAAGAATCGCTTAAACCCAGGCGGCAGAGGTTGCAGTGAGCCGAGATTGCCCCCTGCACTCCAGCCTGGAGACAGAGCAAGACTCTGTCTCAAAAAAAAAAAAAAAAAAGGAAGAAGAAGAAGAAGTAAAAGATCTATACAATGAAAACTATACACTGATATAAGAAATTGAAGAGAACACAAATGAAATGAAAATATATTCCATGTTCACAGATTAGAAGAATAAATATTGTCAAAATCTCCATACTACCCAAAGCAATCTACAGATTCAGTGCAATTTCTATCAAAATATCAATGACATTCTTCACAGAAACAGAAAAATCCTAAAATGTATATGAAACTACAAAAGACCCAGCATAGCTAAAGCTATCCTAAACAAAAAGAACAAAAGTAGAGTAATCATATTATCCAACTTCAAATGATACTAGAGAACTAAGCAGTCAAAACGACATGGTACTGGCATAAAAACAGATGCCAAGATTATAATTGTGGAAAGAACAGTCTCTTCAATAAATGATGCTGAGAAAATTGGTTTTATTTTTTTTTTTTTTTTTTTGAGACAGAGTCTCGCTCTTTAACCCAGGCTGGAGTGCAGTGGTTCAATCTCGGCTCACTGCAACCTCCACATCCCAGGTTCATGCAATTCTCCTGCCTCAGTCTCCCGAGTAGCTGGAACTACAGGTGAGTGCCACCACACCCAGGTAATTTTTTGTATTTTTAGTACACAGGGTTTCACCATGTTAGCCAGGATGGTCTTGATCTCCTGACCTCGTGACCTGCCCACCTCAGCCTCCCAAAGTGCTGGGATTACAGATGTGAGACTGTAATCCAATTTGGCCTGGCCAAAAAATAGATTTTTTAATATGGCAAGAAATAGGGGCTTGATTTCATTCTTCTACATATGGATATTCAGTTTTCTCAGAACCATTTATTGAAGAGACTGTCCTTTCCACAATGTGTTTTCTTGGCACTTTTGTCAAAAATAAATTCACTGAAGATGTATGGATTTATTTCTGGGTTCTCTATTCTATTTCATTGGTCTATGGTGTCAATTGCAACAACATGGATGGAACTGGAGATCATTACGCTAAGTGAACTAAGCCAGGCACAGAAAGACAAACTTCCCATGTTCTCACTTATTTGCACAAGCTAAAAGGAAAAATAATTGAACTCATGGAAACAAAGCATAGAAGGATGATTCCAAGAGGCTGGGAAGGGTAGTGGCAAGATGGTAAGGATGTGGGGGTTGTTAATGGTACAAAAAATTAGAAAGAATGAATAAGACGTAGTATTTAATAGCACAACAGAGAGACTACAGTCAGTAATAATTTACTTATACATCTTAAAATAACTAAAAGAATGTAATTGGATTATATTACAAAGAATAAATGTTTGAGGTGATGGATATCCCATTTACCAGATGCAATTATTATGCATAGCATGCCTGTATCAAAATCTCATATAACCCATAAATATATGTACCTACTGTGTACCCACAAAAATAAGTCAGGGGCAGGATGCAGTGGCACATGCCTGTAATCCCAGCACTTTGGGAGACCGAGGCAGGAAGACATGATCACAAGGTCAAGAGATCAAGACCACCCTGACCAACATGGTGAAACCCCCTCTCTACTAAAAATAGAAAATTAGCTGGGCGTGGTGGCACGTGCCTGTGTTCCCAGTTACTTGGGAGGTTGAGGGAGAAGAATCACTTGAACTCGGGAGGCAGAGGTTGCAGTGAGCCGAGATCATGCCACTGCACTCCAGCCTGGCAATGGAGTGAGACTCCATCTCAAAAAATAAAAATAAAGTCAGGTCATAAGGGTGGGCTCCCAATCTGATAGGATGCCCTATCAGGCATTCTTACGATGCCTCATAAGAAGTTCCATGTACCAAGGAAAGGGCATGTGAGCACAAAATGAGAAGACTGCTTCCTGTAACCCAAGGCCACCTGCAGGCATCTTTTTCTGGACTTTCCAGCTTTCAGAACTGAGAGAAAACAAGTTTCTGTTGCTTCAGGCACCCAGCCTATGGTGTTTAGTTATGGCAGCCCGAGCTGACTGACACAGCAAATTGTATCCTTCAAGGATCTTCCTTAAATCCAGAAAGAAGATTCTCTCTTCTCTGCCACCGCCTCCCCCACTCTCATCCATACTGGCCCTCTATGTAACTTACCTTGGATATTTTTTATAATCAACTTTCATTATAGTTCCAATCAACTAAACTGGAAGTTCCTTCAGGGCAGGAACCTTGTCTGTTTGTCTCTGTAACCTGACACCACCTAGCACACCAAAGGTACTGTGATGCTTAATATTAGGTGTCAACTTGATTGGATTGAAGGACGCCTCAATAGCTGGGAAAGTATTGTTTCTGAGAGTGTCTGTGAGGGTGCTGCCAGAGGAGGCTGACATTTGAGTCAGTGGACTGGGAGAGGAAGACACACCCTCAGTGTGGGTGGGCACCATCCTACTGGCTTCCAGCATGACTAGAACAAAGCAGGTGGAAGAAGGTTGGAGAAGCTGGCTTGCTGAGTCTTCTGGCTTTTGTCTTTCTCCAGTGCGGGAGGCTTCCTTTTGTTCTTCCTGCCCTTGCCCGTTGGACTCCAATTCTTTGACTTTGCATTCTTGAACTTAAATCAGTGGTTTGCCTGGGGCTCTCAGGCCTCTGGCCGCAGGCTGAAAGCTGTATTGTGGGCTTCCCTGCTTTTGACACTTTTGGACACAGACTGAGCCACTACTGGCTTCTTTCTTCCCCAGCTTGCTGATGGCCTGTTGTGGGACTTTGCCTTGTGATCATGTAAGCCAATTCTCCCTAATAAACTCCATTTCATTTATACATATATCCTATTATTTCTGTCCTTCTGGAGAACCCTGACTAATACAGATTTTGGTACTTGGAGTGGGGCGTTGCTATAAAGATACCTGAAAATGTGGAAGTGACTTTGGAAGTGGGTAACAGGCGGAGGTTGGAACAGTTTGGAGGCCTCAGAAGACAGGAAGAGGGGGGAAAGTTTGGAACTTCCTAAAGCTTTGTTGAAGGGTTATGACCAAAATGCTGATAGTGATATGGACAATGAAGTTCGGGCTGATGAGGTCTCAAATAGAGATGAGGAACTTATTAGGAACTGGAGTAAAGGTCAACCTTTAACAAAGAGACTGGTGGCATTGTGTCCCTGCTCTAGGGATCTGTTGAACATTGAACTTGATTTAGGGTTTCTGGCAGAAGAAATTTTTAAGCAGCCAAGTGGTCAAGATTTGGCCTGCCTGCTTCTAACAGCACACGCTGATCTACATGAGCAAAGAAATTACCGGAAACTGGAACTTCTATTTAAAGGGAAGCAGAGCATAAAGGTTTAGAAAACTTGCAGTCTGATAATGTGGTAGAAAAGAAAACCCCATTTTCTGGGGAGAAATTCAAAGGCTTAAAGCCAAGACAATAAGGAAAATGCCTCCAAGGTATTTCAGAGACCCCTTTTGGCAGCCCCTCCCAGCACAAGCCTGGAGGTCTAGGAGGGAAAAGTGGCTTCATAAGTCAGACCCAGGGCCTTGCTGCTCTGTGCAGCCTTGGGACACGGCTCCCTGCGACCCAGCCACTCCAGCACCAGCTGTGGCTAAAAGGGATCTAGATACATCTCAGGCCACTACATCAGAGGGTGCAAGCTGGAAGTCACCAAGGCTTCCACATGAAGTCTGCAGGTGTGCAGAGGGCACACCTCTGGTTTAGGCTTGGGAGCCTGCACCTAGATTTCAGAGGATATACGGAAATGCCTGGATGTTCATCAGGGATAAAGCCCTTATGGAGAACCTCTACTAGGGCAGTGCAGAGAGGAAATGTGAGGTAGAAGCCCCCATCCATATTCCCCACTGGGGCACTCTCTCATGGAGCTGTGAGAAGAGGGCCACCATCCTCCGGACCCTAGAATGGTAGATCCACTGACAGCTTGTGCTGTGTACCCAGAAGCCACAGGCACTCAATGCCAGCCCCCACAAGCAGCTAAGGGGGCAGTACCCTGCAGAGCCATGGGGACAGAACTGCCCAAGGCCTTGGGAACTCCCCACATTGTATCGGCATGTCTTGGATGTGAGACAGGAAGCCAAAGGAACTTATTTTGGGGCTTTAATATTTAATGACTGGGCCGGGTGTGGTGGCTCAGGCCTGTAACCCCAGCATTTTTGGAGGCTGAGGCAGGAGGATCATGACGTCAGGAGTTTGAGACCAGTCTGGCCAACACAGTGAAACCCCATCTCTATTGAAAAAAATATATATTATATTAGATGGGCATGGTGGTAGTAATCCCAGCTACTTGGGAGGCTAAAGGAGGAGAATTGCTTGAACCCAGGAGGCGAAGGATGCAGTGAGCTGAGATTGCACCATTGCACTCCAGCCCCAGTGACAGTGTGAGACTCCAAAGATTTAATGACTGCTCTGGTGAGTTTCAGACTTGTGTGGGGCCTGCAGCCCCTTTGTTTTGGCCAATTTCTCCCTTTTGGAAAAAGAGTATTTACCCACTGCCTGTATCCCTATTGTATCTTGGAAGTAACTGACTTGTTTTTTATTTTACAGGGTCATAGGTTGAAGGAACTTGCCTTGTCTCAGATGAAATTTTGAATTTGGACTTTTTAGTTAATGTTGAAATGAGTTAAGGCGTTGGGGTGGGTTGAGAAGGGATGATTGTGTTTTGAAAGGTGAGAAGGACATGAGATTTGGGAGGGGCCAGGGTGGAATGATATAGTTTGGCTCTGCGTCTTCACCCAAATCTCATGTTGAATTGTAATTCCCAGTGTGAGAGAAGGGGCCTGATGGGTGGTGACTGGATCGTGGAGGCAGACTTTCCACTTGCTGCTCTCATGATAGAGTCCTTATGAGATCTGGTTGTTGTAAAGTGTGTGGCACCTACCCCTTTGCTCTCTCTTCCTCTTTTTTTAATTAATTAATTAATTTTTTATTTTTGGCTGGGGATGTCACTTTATTTGAATTTGGTTCATGGAGTGGGGGTCTCAGAGCAAACTGGAGGACCTTACACAGGCAACTGGGCCCAGGTAGCTGGACTCCTGACCCAGGACCTTGTTCTGGCCTGTCCTCCCAAAGCATAGCCTGCACCTTCTTCCCCTTCTTCAGAGGAGTCCCCTCCACCCCACAGGAGCTGTGGCCAAGCCCTGCAGCCCTGGGGAAGGAGGAAGTGTCCTACCGGTAGACACTAAGGCACAGCATGGCCTGGGGTCATAAGTGCTCTTCTGGAGGTGGCATCTTCTGGGGCTTCTGGCTGGGCGGGGGCTCCACACAACCACTGACCATCCAAAAGTGGTTTGGGTGCACCTGGCCCTGCACAGCCTCGCTGACCATCAATTCCCCGTCCACTGCAAACACACCCCTCCCATCCTTGGGCTCCAGGCCGAAGGCGACAACACACAGGCACATATATCAAGTAGGGGTATTACCTGCCCTTCTCCATGGCCAGGAAGAGGCGCAGCAGCATGGCCCAAGATGAGCCTCCCCAGACGCAGAACAGATGCATGACACCGGCGGCACAGCGGCACAGCGGCCCGTGGGTACCGGGAACATCTCGCTACCCAGGTGCTAGTGCAGCAGTGCCAACATCAGCACAAAGTCCTGTTCGGGCACCACTGTCCAGTGAGAGGGCACTGGCTCCTCCAGTGGCACAAGGTGTGCATCTACCCGGTCCTGCTGGACTACCACAGGAAAGACGGGTGTCTTGGGGCTGGCTCTTCCTACAGGGAGGTAGGCCAGTCGGCCGTGGTAGGTGCGCAGGGCTGCCAGGAGCAGGAAGATGCCCAGAGTGAAGCGTATCTCCCCCAGGCGCCGATACTTCGCACTCCAGGTCCACGTCAGCAATGAAGCCCCAGGTCAGACTGAGCACAGAGAAGAGGCGCAGCCCCAAAGCCATGTGCAGTGACAGCAGGTTCAGGGGCGACAGCAGCCGGCGGCACAGCAACAGCACGCAGTTAGTCCGGAGGTCTCCATCAGTAACCTGCTCCCAGCCAGCATAATGGTTCGAGGACGCTGCCAGCGCGTTGCCAAGAGCCTGCGGGGAGGCTGCACAGGTGCCCTGGATGGCGGCCTCCCAGTCAGGCCACTCCATGAGCGGATTCACCACCCGCGCATCAGCCGGTCCCCAGACCTGACTACCAGAGCGGCCCAGCTCCGCCGACCGCACCAGCTCCCACGCGTGGTTCCGCCACTCAGAGAGCATGGGCGTGAAGGAGACTTCAGCCTCAGCCAGAACGAGCTGCACGTGACTCCGGAAGAGCTGCAGGGTCTTGCCCTGGCCCCAGCGCGGGTTCAGCAGCACCAGCACTTAGCAGAGCAGCCCGCGGGATCCGTAACCGAGACCACGGCTCCCGCGCCAGGGGGTCCCGGAGCTGTTGGGGCAACTGCCCATGGCGGCGGCTCCTGCCTTCAGCTCTTCTTCGCTGCTGCCCAGGTAGCCGTCGCAGGGCAGGCTGTGGGGCTCGCCCTCCCCACTCGGAGCCCGGAGCCGGGGCTGTGGGAGCATTGACATCGTTCCCTGCTTCCTGCAGCGGCTCGATCCAGTCTGTCCGGTTTGCTGGGGAGGTGCCACCACCGTTTTACAGTGGCCTGGGGAAGAACACAGCTCTTCCCAAGCTCAGGCCAAGTCTGAGGGACTAGAGCGCCCCGCTGGAGCGGACTCCCCCACCTAGCTCCCTCCCGCCTCAAACTTTTCGCTCAATCTCTGTCTTCCTCTTGCTCTAGCCACGTAGGACATGCTGGCTTCTCCTTCCCCCTTCAGCTGTGATTGTAAGTTTCCTGAGGGCTCCCCAGCCATGCTTCCTGTACAGCCTGCAGAACCGTGAGCCAATTAAACCTCTTTTCTTTAAAAATTACCCAGTTTCAGGTATTTATAGCAGTGTGAGAACAGACTAATACTTGATAACTTGACAGGAATGAATAAATAAAGTGAAACAGATAATAAACACTATGGGAGATCGGAGGAGAGGACTTACTCCTAGAAGTCATCAGGGATGGCCTTCATGAGAGGTCCTTGAAGGGCAGGGAGGATCTAAACAGGCAGAGAAGGAAGAAAGATCTCAGAAGTGGGATCATAAACGCATATTGGAGGCAATGAAGATGCAGTCTGGTCGGAACAGAGGCTCTCCCAGAGACAGGAAATGGTCTTATTTGCAAACTGGAGAGAAAGATTTGGTACTGCCGGTCCTAAAGGGAAGATGTTGGACTTGATGACCTCTCAAAATGATTCAAAACAGAATGGTAAATGCCAAGTTTTCACAATGAAAGGTCCAGGGCTGGCCCCTTGAAGGTTAAAGCCTTGGATTGAAAAGCGATGGTGCTGAACCACTGAAACTAGTAGAACAGTCTCTAAGAGAGGTGTGTACTCACTTGTGCATGCTAGAGAAGGAAGGGTTCTTAAAAGGGATCTAGTCAGGCCGGGTGCAGTGGCTCATGCCTATAATCCCAGCACTTTGGGAGGCTGAGGCGGGCGGATCACGAAGTCAAGAAATCGAGACCATCCTGGTCAATATGGTAAAACCCCATCTCTACTAAAAATACAAAAAAATTGGCTGGGTGTGGTGGTGCGTGCCTGTAGTCTCAGCTACTTGGAAGGCTGAGGCAGGAGAATTGCTTGAACCCAGGAGGCAAAGGTTGCAGTGAGCCATTGCACTCCAGCCTGGGTAACAAGAGCGAAACACCAGCTAAAAAAATATTAAAAAAGTGATCTAGTCAAACTTTCTTATTTGGCAGAAGGAGAAATGGAGGCCAAGAGAAGGGAAGGCTGCCAGGCAGAGGCAGAGGCAGGAATAGAATTTGAGGTCCTGTGAGGTGTGCTGCCCATGCTGCCCTGCTGACTTCTCCTCCCGGGACAGCAAGGGAGGCAGTTTGCATTTCTCAGTTCAGCTGTTCCCAAGGAGATGGTCCAACCCAGACCTCCATAGTCCCTCTGGCAAACACTGAAGGTATCCTGTGTGTTCCAGCCCCATAGGCGATACTCTGTCAGTCTAGAATTTGTCTGACATACAGTCACAGTGAGATCATAAAAGGTCTTGAGTGCCTGCCAAGAGCTAAAGCTTTATCAGGCAGAGGAAGGTCTCTGGGAAGAAGGAGAAAAGCTTGTGCACCCTGCTGTTGGGGAAGCTGGCCTGTGGTGGGTGGTCTGGGGGCTTTCTCCTTGCACATCCAGCTGGGCCTGAAACTGATACTTCCCATCTGACTTTCTCCAAGGAGAGTTTGATTTCCCTTCCCAGCACTGAGCTTGCTTCTGCCTGACACAGCGACAAAATTGTTTCTTTTACCTGGGAGCATCTGCTCCCAGTCAGCATCAGAAGCAGCAAGTTAAGTAAGAAGAAAAGGCTGGTGAAGAGAATGTAGCACTGAACTATCCAAAGGCCAAAAGACTCTTTGTGGCCTTTAAGGCCCCTGCTGTCTGACTGAAAGGGAGGACACAAGGACATGTGGCTCAAGGTCTGTGCCCCCATCCCACCTCTGCTATCAAGCTACTATGTGCAAACACTCAACTCTCTGAACCTCAGTTTCCTCATCTGTAAATTGAGGAGCATATCGCCATCCTCCATGAGCTTATGGGTGGTTCAAATCAAGTTCAGGTCTACACACATATTTGACATTGATTTGCAGTCTTCCTCAAATGCCCCTGCAAGCTCTCAGTTCCTTATCTGCTGGGGCTAGAAGTGAAAGGACCAATCAGGAGGCAGCTGAGGTTTTTCTCCAGAAGTGCCACTGGATGGCAGAATCAGAATATAACCAAAAAAGGATCCTCAGTGATCAAGGAGAGTGACAGAAAGGAGGGGAGACGAAGAAAGGGAGATGGCCTTGGGGGTGTGGTGCAAAAGCCGTTCATTCATCTCTCATATATTTGAAACTACTATGTGCCAAGCACTGTGCTGGGTCCTGGGAACTCAGATGAACAAGACTCATTCATTCATTCATTCATTCATCCATCAAACATACAGTTATTATGGGACTTGTATGAAGCTTCCAGGTTCTGGCATAGAGAGGAGGTCAGGCAAGCAAATGAACAACTGAAATACAGGCTAGTAAGTATCCTAAGAGAGGATGTAGAGAGGGAGGCAAAGGGCATTGGAGATGGAGAGAGCCCTACTAGTCTAAGGCTGCAAGGAATTCCCCAAGGCTGGAAGGGACGGTATGTCTTGTGGTGAGAGGGGAAGCTGGAAAGGCCAAGAAAGGCCCTGAATGCCACCAAGAGTTTGGACCACCTGTACATAGAAAGCCACTGAGCACTTTCCCAAAGGGATGCCAGATTCAGATTCTAATTTGGCTACCATGTGGCCAAGTGGAATGAAACCAGGGGATGAAGCAAAGAGGAGGGGAAGAAGGAAGAGAGGAGACTCTGGAGGTGGTTTGGACTGGGTGACTGGCCGTTAGTGGGCAGGGAGAGAGGCCAGGCAGCTGTGCAGCCCATATTCACTGAATGGGAGCAGAGCAGGGTGTGGGGGAACTTATAACCACAGAGGGTCCTAAGCCCACCCCAGGTGCACTGAATCAGCATCTCTGGAATGGGGCCCAGCAATGCGTATACTCAGCTCATTGTTCCTGGTCTTGGTGGTTGCGTAGAGGATCCCTAAGACCGGCCACAGGTTCAATGATTTGCTATAAGGACTCAAAGGACTTAGAAAAGCCATTATACCTTTGGTTATGGTTCATTACAGTGAAAAGATACAGATTAAAATCAGCAAAGATAAAAGGGACAAAGTCCAGCTTCCAGTTATCCTTTCCCAGTGGAGTTGCAGAGACAGTGGTTCATTCTCCCAGCAGTGATGTGTGACAGCACATGCCAAGTGTTGTCTGCCAGGGAAGCCACCCAAGCAAGCCTTAGTGTTCAGGGCTTTTCTTGGGGGTCAGTGATGCAGGCATGCAGCTCCTGGGTGATTGACCCAGCTACTTAGGCTTCAGGCCCTAGAGAAGTCATATTAATACAGCAAAGCCCAAAGCCTCAGGGATACAAAAACATTCTTAGAAGGCAGAATATTTGGCTGAGCGCAGTGGCTCATGCCTGTAATCCCAGCACTTTGGGAGGCTGAGGCAGGTGGATCAACTGAGGTCAGGAGTTCAAGACTAGTCTGGCCAATATGGCGAAACCCCATCTCTACTAAAAATAGAAAAAAAAATAGGCATGGTGGCAGGTGCCTGTAATCTCAGCTACTAGGAAGGCTGAGACAGAATTGCTTGAACCCGGGAGATGGAGGTTGAAGTGAGCTGAGAAAAAAAGAAGGGAGAATATTCTAAGGACTCAGAGATTATCTCCCCAGAGGTGGTCAAGGGTCAGTCCTTTTTTTGGAATGCGCAGGGTTGGAGTGACCCAAGCCTGCTGAGCCAACCAACCCTTCACTGTCCAGTGGTCTGTATTAGAATGCCCTGGGGAGCTTGCAGAATGCTCTATAGCCAGGCTGCACCCAGACCAATCACTCAGAGTCTCTGCAGGGTCTGTCCAAGGTCAAGACCCACTGCCATAGATAGTAATTGGTACCAAAGGAAGGCGTGATCATCCCAGAGGGAATGAGGAGAGAGTGGTCACAGGTGGAAAAGATGGTGAAGAACAGTAGACTCAGGAGCAGCAGAGGGTACAGACTGCAGGAAGGATGGCACACAGGGAAGGAGCAGCCAGGGAAAAGGCAGAGAACCAAGGTCCCCAGGGTCTGGACAGCAAAGAGAGAGAGAGAGCAGGCAGTCAAGTCACTTAGTGGCCTGGTACCTTAGCTCAGGCTGCTGTAACAAATCGCTAGATGGCTTAGACAGTAATTTATTTTTCATAGTTCTAGAGGCTGGGAAGTTGGAGATCAGGCTGCCCGCATGGTTTGGGTTGGGTGAGGATCTTTTCTTAGTTTCTTCTCTGAACACTTCCCTGCTATATCCTCACACTGCACAGAGAGAAAGGCAGAGACAGAGACAGAGATAGAGAGAGAGAGAGACTGAGAGAGAGAGAAAGAGAGTGTACTTGCTCGTGTTTCCTCCTGTAAGGGCACTAATCCCATCATGCAGGATAAAACATTCAGTGTATAGCACTTGGGAAGTCTCAGTTAGGTCTGGGGGAGGGACACAGTGCCAGGAGGAGCAAAAATTTCTGTCTGGTACTCTCTTCCCCCTCCCCCTCCCCTTCCTCCTCCTGCTTTTCCTTCTTCTAAACCCCTCTTTCGTTCTCTGCAGCTCTCCACTCCCCTCCAGACTTTCTTCATAGAACCAGAAGGGGATGCCTGAATCGGCCTGGACTGCCCAGCTCATACAGTTCTGGGAGTGGGGTAGGGGTGGTGGAGTGAATTCAGCAGGCCTTGACTTTTCCAAGTCTAAGCACTGAAAATGCTTTGGTGCTGCTCCACGGGGGAGAAAATTCAAAATAAAAACAAAACCATAAACCATACAACACAATGGTTACATGGATGCTAAAAATCAATTTTTTTCTTAAAGTTTCCAATGGCAAAAGTCTGGATATTTGGAAGCTGAATCTGCCTTGCCCTCTTTTGGAGGATGTACTGGTTTTGTAGTCACTCCAAACCTGCCTCAGTTTACCTATGTACTGGGTCACTCAGCCCTTTGGACCTTTGACTCTCAAGCCCAAGCACACCAGCACAAAGGCCTTTGGAGCCCTAGTATTCTTCCTGGGGTGGCGGACACACTGTCTCCTCTGCATTATTCCCCACCCCCACCCTAATGGCTCTCCAGGGGAGAAGGGCTTTGATGCATTATTCAGGGATCTTCAGGGCTTCTCTCAGCTGATTCCCAACATGTGACTCACTATGAGCTGGAGCTCAGCTGAGCTCTGGGGAGACCCAGATAAACAGAAGCCATCCTCGGCCTGGACTGGGAGCAGGGGGAGGGGCAGGACTCTGATCAGCATCAGTGTTGCCAGGCAGGAGCCAAGAAGCTTAAGGATTCTGGGGATACCTTGGCCTGAGGCTCTACATCCTCCAAGGTGAGTGTCTGGGAAGAGGGGAACATGAGCTACAGAAGCCAGCCATAGCGGAGACCCAGGCCATGGTACATGATGGTATGTGGGATTCCAGGGGCAGGGCCTATGCCTGGCATGTGGCAAGAGCTCGAAAACTAATGATGGTATCAAATTCCCACCAGCAGAGCCCATCCAGGGTCGCCAAAGAGCCTCCTGCCACCCTGGCCTGTCTTACTGGCGTTCTGCCTTGCTGATGCCAAAAATCTAAAGCTGATTACAATAAGCAGTCAGTCACCCTCTCCCAACCTGGTCCTTCCTGGCCTCGGGTCACACACCAATTCCAGGAAGCCCTTATTGTCCACTACAATGTGGCTTCCTCTGCTCCAAGTGTGGATCTGGTATGAGCCTGGCATTGGAAGCCGCTTGGCTGGATTCAGACTCTAGGTCCCAGTACAGCAAAGACACTCATTAACCATAAGTCTCAGGCAAGTGACTTAACCCTTCTAAGCCTTGATTTCATCGTCCATAGATGAAACCTAAAACTAGTCCCTATTATCAGAGCTCACAGAGCAAACTGCAGAGCACAGTGCCTGCATATGAGAAGCACTAAGCATGTGTGAACTGGGTGAACGGATGAGGAAATGTAGGAAGTGGGGCCTGCCCAGGGATTGACCTGGAGAAGCATCTCCTGGCTTCTTCCCCATAAGGATCTGGGCCAAATCCTCCCATCACTCAGAAGGCCTTAGGGGCCAGCAAGTGACAGGGGAGGAGACATAATGAATGAATGAATGAATGAGGCTGTGTTCCAGTAACCTCCCAGGACCCTTCAGACCTGGGAGGATCCTATGGGGGGCCCTTCCTGGCACCAGGAGATGAGGGAGAAAAGGATGAAAGCCAGGAGCTTTCCCAGGACTAATCAAGTCATTATAGGATTGGATTGCAGGCACTCAGTTTACATGATAAAGCTCCTTTTGGAAGTGGTGGAAATAACATTGGTTTTAAGAAATGATTTAGTTTCCATGAAACAAATGCAAAGGGAAGAAATAAATGTGAATGCCTAATCCAAATTCAGTCCTCTAAAAAGCAACCAACTCTCTGGAAGTTGGTTTTGAAGGAAGCTTCTCCCACCCAGATCCTGTCCTTAAAAGGTGAGGTGTCCAATCATTTGGGAGGCGAAACAGCTTCAGTTCTGCCCAGCCCTGGCTGTTCTCAACAAAAGAACAACTGGGTTTTTGTTAACTCTTTGTTCTGTCATCTTTGTCAGCCCATCTCTTTTCAAAAGCTGTTTGTTTGTTTGTTTTTTGTTTTTTTGAGATAGGGTCTCACTCTGTCACCCAGACTGGAGTGCAGCGCTGTGATCTCAGCTCAATGCAACTTCTGCCTCCCAGGCTGAAGCAATCCCAAGTAGCTGGGATTATACCTACATGCCACCATGCCTGGCTAATTTTTGTATTTTTTTATTGTAGAGATGGGGTCTCACCATATTGCCTAGGTTGATCCCAAACTCCTGGGCTCAAGCAATTCTCCTGCCTCAGCATCTCAAAGTACTGTGATTACAGGCATAAGCCACCTTGGCTGGCAAAAGCTGTGATCTTTATGTACTGGGGGAGGGGGAGCACCAAGAAAGTAGAAGCTCATTTAGCTTGCCAGATCTTGGGAGATTTTGTTGCCATCCTAGGTCTTCAGGCTCTCTCACCTGGAGCTGCAATAGGCATTTCAACCACATCTCACAATCCTGATTTTAGCTCTCCTCTCTCCCACTATATCACAACCTGGAGCTTTATTAGAAAGCCTTAGCCTGACATTATAACCTTTACCATGGACCGGGGTAAAGAATTAGATAGAAAAAAAGTCTATCTAGTCCAAAATGTCAGAGAGGCTCTGTGTCGTGGCTCATACCTGTAATCCCAGCACTTTGGGAGGCTGAGGCAGGCAGATCACCTGAGGCAAGAGTTCGAGACCAGTCTGGCCAACATGGTGAAACCCCATCTCTACTAAAAATACAAAAATTAGCCAAGTGTGGTGGTGGTTACCTGCAGTCCCAGCTACTTGGGAGGCTGAAACACAAGAAACACTTGAACCTGGGAGGCAGAGGTTGCAGTGAGCTGAGATCGCATCACTGCACTCCAGCCTGGGTGACAGAGTGAGACTCCATCTCAAAACAAACAAACAAACAACAAAAACAACAATCAAAGAGAAACCCTGGGTTAGAGGAAGGGATATCCTCCAGTGAGCATGGCCTCAGGCTTTCAGTCCCTCTAAGAATGAGATGTTCCTTGCTTTTTTTCTCCATCTCTCACTGTCCCAGATATGGGGAAGGGGGGAGTTAGACCAGGTAAGATCCAAGCACCTGTGAACCTCTGAGCCAAATACAATTCTTCAGATAGCAGAATTTCCCAGAAAAATGCAGTCTGACGTGGAGTGGTGAGAAACATGGTTCCTTTCATCTTCTATTACACTGGCTTTAAAAACTCACGTTAAAAATATGACAACATTCACTGTAGCACTGTTCATAACTGTAAAAGACTGAAAACAACCTAAATGTCTACTTATAAGGACCAGATAAATAAATCATGATACATTCATGCAGTGAGGACTATATGCAGTTGTTGAAAGGGTGAGATACCTGTAGATATAATGATACCAAACAATCTCCAAGACATATTATTAAGAATACCAAGGCCAGGCACAGTGGCTTATGCCTGCAATCCCAGCACTTTGGAAAACTCAGGCAGAAATATGGCTTGAGTTCAGGAGCTTGAAACCAGCCTGGGCAACATAGTGAGACCATATCTCTGCAAACACAAAAATAAAAAAATTAGGCGTGATGGTGCACACTTGTGGCCTCAGCTACTTAGGAGGCCAAGGAGGGAGGATCACTTGAATAGGTGAGGTCAAGGCTGCCATGAGCTATGATTGTGCCACTATACTCCAGCCTGGGTGACAGAGCAAGACCATTTCTCAAGAAAGAAAAAGGTTACCAATAAAATGCAGGAACAATATGCCAGGTGTACTAATACTTGTGTGAAAATATATTTTAAAATACTATTTGAACCTAGATTCTGAGTGTGCATAGACCTTCTCAGAAAAGACACACAAGAACGCAGTAACACTGGTTGCCTCCTGGAAGGGGAGCTGAGGCCTGGAAGAGGAAGGGATGGGAGAGAGATTCCCTCTTCACTTTAGGTCCTTTGCATCTCTTAAATTTTATACTCTATGCATGTACTATCTATTCAAAAACAAACACAGATGGTCCCCAGCTTACTATGTTTGTTTGTTGTTTTGAGACAGAGTTTTGCTCTTGTTGCCCAGGCTGGAGTGCAATGGTGCAAGCTTGGCTCACTGCAATCTCTGCTTTCTGGGTTCAAGTGATTCTCCTACCTCAACTTCCTGAGTAGTTAGGACTACAGGCATGTGCCACCACGCATGACTACATTTTTGTATTCAGTAGAGATGGGGTTTCACCATGTTGGTCTCAAACTCCTGACCTTGTGATCCACCCACTTTGGCCTCCCAAAGTGCTGGGATTACAGGCGTGATCCACCACACTTGTCCCCATGATGGTTTGACTTAATATTTTTTTACTTTTCGTTTTTTCTTTTTCTTTTTTTGAGACGGAATCTGGCTCTGTTGCCCAGGCTACAGCCAGGGGCACATCTTGGCTCACCGCAACCTCTGCCTCCCAGATTCAAGCAATTCTTTTGCTTCAGCCTCCCAAGTAGCTGGGATTACAGGTGCACACCACCACCCTCAACTAATTTTTGTATTTTAAGTAGAGATGGGGTTTCACCATATTGGCCAGGCTGGTGTTGAACTCCTGACCTCGTGATCCGCCCTCCTCATTCTCCCAAAGTGCTGGGATTACAGGCATGAGCCACCGTGCTCGGCCTATTTATTTTACTTTTCAATGGTGCAAAAGGGATACACATTTAGCAGAAACTATATTTCTTTTTTCTTTTTTTTTTTTTTTTTTTTGAGATGGAGTCTTGCTCTGTCACCAGGCTGGAGTGCAGTGGCACAATCTCGGCTCACTGCAACCTCCACCTCCTGGGTTCAAGTGATTCTTCTGCCTCAGCCTCCCGAGTAGTTGGGACCACAGGCGTGTGCCACCACGCCTGGCTAATTTTTGTATTTTCAGTAGAGACAGTGTTTCACCATGTTGGCCAGGATGGTCTCGATCTCTTGACCTCGTGATCCTCCCACCTCGGCCTCCCAAAGTGCTGGGATTACAAGCGTGAGCCAACGCACCCAGCCAGCAGGAACTGTATTTCAAGTACCATATAACTATTCTGATTTTCACTTTCAGTATTTAATAAATTACATGAGACGGTCAACACTTGACTATAAAATAGATTTTGTGTTAGATGATTTTGCCCAGCTGTAGGCTAATGTTCTGAGTATGTTTAACGTGGGCTGGGCTAAGCTATGATGTTCAGTAAGTTGGGTGTATTAAATGCATTTGTGACTTACCATATTTTCTATTTACAGGGGGTTTATTGGAATGTAACTCCATCATAAATGGAGCAACATCTGACAGTACACACAATGGGACATTATTCTACATTATTCTGCCTTAAAAATGAATGAAATTCTGATACATCCTACAACATGGATGAACCTTGAAAACATTATGCTAAATGGAATAAGAGACACAGAAAGACAAATCTGTGCCATTCCACTTATACAAGGTACCTAGAATAGGCAAATTCATAGAGCCAAAAAGTAAAATAGTGGTTATTAGGGGCTGTGGGGAGAGGGAGTGGGGAGTTACTGTTGAATGGGTACAGTGTTTCTGTCTGGAATGATGAAAAAGTTCTGGAAATGGATAATGGTGATGGTTGTACAGCATTGTGAATGCACTTAATGGCAGTGAAATGTGCCCTTAAAAGTGGTTAAACGGTATGTCTTATGTTACAGACATTTTGCCATAATAAAAACCAAATATGTAACATAAGCTACGTTAAAATACATGTTTTACAATTTCAGTGTCTAACGACCACTTAATGAAAATCCACCACCTCCAGTGGGAGTGTATGGCATCTAAGAGCCTGAGCTTTGGAACCAAACTGTACTGAGCTGGACTCATGCCTCCACCACTAACTAGTTTTGTCACCTTCTAAATTAATCTTCGAGAGTAGAGGTCAGTAAACTCTTCCTGTAAAGCATTAGACAGTGAGTATTTTAGGTTATGCAGACCATATATGGTCTTCGCTGTAAGCAACTACTCAATGTAAAAGCAGCAGCCATAGACAACAAATGAATGAATGAATGAATGAATGAATGAATGAATGAATGAGGCTGTGTTGCAGTAACAACAGGCCAGATTTGGTCCTCAGGCTGCAATCAATCTCTGCTCTATGGCTTTCAGTTCCCACATTTGTAAGACAGGTACATGGCCAGGTGCGGTGGCTCAAGCCTATAATCCCAGCACTTTGGGAGGCCGAGGCAGGTGGATCACGAGGTCAAGATATCGAGACCATCCTGGTCAACATGGTGAAACCCCGTCTCTACTAAAGATACAAAAAATTAGCTGGGCATGGTGGTGCGTGCCTGTAATCCCAGCTACTCAGGAGGCTGAGGCAGGAGAATTGCCTGAACCCAGGAGGCCGAGGTTGCAGTGAGCTGAGATCGCGCCATTGCACTCCAGCCTGGGTAACAAGAGCAAAACTCCATCTCAAAAAAAAAACAAAAGACAGGGACAATAATATAACCACCTCACAGTGCCATTGTGGGAATAAATGGGGCAATGTGTCAAATTCTTTGCTAAATGCCTTATGTATGATAAGTTGCCAGTAAATGCTTATTTTTGTAAATGTGATTGTTGAGGTAGGTGCTGAGAATGCAGAAGAAGGAAGTCACATTTACTGAGCACCTACTGTAAACACAGCAGGGCCAACTCTTACTAGGACAGGACTTCCTTTGTTATTTTTATTAGTTACTTATTCAAAACATCTCATGCTGGCACGGAGCTTCTTGGGTTCATTAGCTCATTTCATCTTCCTGATTACTCTCTGGGGTAAATATTCTGAATCAGGAAGCCAGACCTCCAAGGGCACCCTGCTAGGCAGAACAGAAACAAGGTTTGAAACCTCAGCCATGTTATTCCAAAGCCTGGGTTCTCAACCAAGCGTGGTACTGCCCGCTTCTACTCCACTCTGTCCCTCCACCCTGGGAGATCCGGAAATGTGTGGGGCTTTTCTGAGGTGAGGAGGGTTTTATAAGAATGAGGAGGTACTGCTGGAGTTTAGTGGCCAGGGTCCTGGTGTTGTATCAGACCGAGCACAGAAAGTCAACACCAAGACAACAGTATGCCAAATTGCAGGGTTTATTGCCGGCGACCACAGAGGACTCACGTCTCTCCAACCCGTGGCAGAGAAAGAAGGATGACAAGACCTTTTCATACGTGCAAAACCACCTTGGGAGTGGGGGTGAAGAGCAGAGATGGGGATGAAAGGCTGTAAATCACCTCCTTGGCAGAGAGGAGGTTGAGGGGGCTCCGGACATTCCAAGGGCCAGGGGACTTTTTCATTCCGATTGCCACTTAAGTGGTTTGCAGAAGTCAAGATAAACATTAGTTTATACATTATTTGGGCAGGTGTGGGGTCCACAGATTTTTTAGTTGCTTGGTGCCAGAATGGAATTATCTGGGGGTGCTTACTCTGGTCAGTACCGGTAAACAAAGGCCAGCAATTCTGGCAGTTACAGATAAGAGAAGGTATGCAGCTTTACCTCTCTGCTTTCTGCAAAGTAAATTAGCAGTTTACAGAAGCCAAGGTTAGCAGTCATTGTGAGGAGAATGGAAACAGTTTGTCTCTTTATAAAATGGCAGTGTACAGGTTCTAACTCTAGGCTAGCTATATCACGCTGGAATGCTAAACTCCTGGCAGATCCGTTTAAATGTCTGTAAAACAACGCATTACCCAGTCCCAAAGGGGCTCCCAAATATCAGTGGTGCTCCACATCATGCTGCCCAGATGCGACTCCATTACCACCCTCCCTTGAGCAGATCACAGTCCTATGGGAGACAGTGCACTGGAGCACAGAGTGATCAGCCTGAGGATAGATGGAGGCGTCCCTCAAGGGCAGGGTGGTATGGGGAGGATGCCTTCATCTCTGCTGAGAGTGGAAGAGACAGGTGGTGCGGGTTGTTAAATTTTAAGTTTAGCAGATTCTTTGTTTCCTTCTAAATCTGCATGAAAGACAGTGCAGTGTAGCAGAAAGGGCACTGGACTGTCAGAGGCTAAAACCACTGACTTGACCACTGAACAGCTGTGTAAGTAGGCAACTGGCTTGGCCTCTCTGGGCTTCAATATCCTCGGAGTGAAAAGAGGATCCTGACATGTGCTTGCCCCCTTACAGGGCTGTAGCTAGGATCAGATGCAGCAGCAGAGTGAAAGTGCACACCTCTGTCTGAAGGGAAGGTGTGTTACTAAGTGAATCATAAAGCAATTGTCAATACAATAAAGCTCTTCCCTTTTAAATCTTGAGTTTGGCTTCCAAAGGCTGCCTGGAGATTTTATCTAACAGTCAGGTGCAGATGACTGCCACCGGCTGCCCCTTCTGCCCCCAAAATTGAGATTTAGCTTTGATGGCATCTCCAGCACAACCAGCCAGGGCGAAAATGAGCCCAGGAGAGAGCGACTGTGCTTCCTGTTGGCCATACCTCCTCAGGGTCATGGAGAAGTCATCCATTCGCAGCCAGAGACTAAACCAGAAAAGGGCCAGAACAGCCTGTTGGGGTCACTTGTGGGTCAGGCCCCACAAGCTGTTTTTCCCCCAGGACAGGAGGGATGGGGTTAATAGCTGCTTTGGTCAAAATATCAAGTTGGAATCAATCTACATAAACGTCAAGCCTGCTCTGCATGCAAAAATAAGGAAGTGGTGCATCATAGCAGGAAGTCTGCAGAACAAGGTTCAGATGTTTTTTCCCTAAGGCTCTGATTTCTCTTATTCTACTTAGAGATCAGATGGCAGCTGGGTCCCCTGCCTCTTCAGATCCAGCTAATTGTGGTCCTGCCTCCACAATTCCACACCTCCTTAAGGCTTCCTCAAACTCTATGCCAGGGCCTGGGGGGGTCTACATCACTCATCACACACCCTGTGCCTGGCATGCCCTCATCAACCCAGCAATGAAACTTGATCCATGCTCCAGTTCCAAAAACAAAAACAGAAAAAGCAATCCCAGGAAGATTTTGATGAAGACAAGAATTTGATGAAGTTTCCCATGCTAACATTTACTATTCAACCTTGTATTGCAGCAAAGAGGTGTCGGAGTCAAACTTCTAGAACCCAAATCCCTTACTTATGTAATGGGGCGACCTCAGAAAGTCACTTCACCACCAGGTTTGACGTTTTTATCTGTAAGATGAGGCTGTCAATCTCTACATTAAAAAACTCTTGTGAGGACTCAATTAAATGTGTCATGTAAATGGCAGGCACATAATACATGCCCATTTCAGTTAGAGCTCCTGGCTGCAGATTAATTTATTTAAATCACTTCCCCTTATTTAAAAGGAATGTGGAGGCTGACCAAACCTAGAGTCTGGCAGCCCGCCATGTGTAGGCAGAATTGGATCAGGGCTTTTCTCTCTTCTGTGTAATTGTTTCCTTTTCTGCCGCCAGCCTTCCTCATAGTCATAAAATGACTGCAGCTGTGCCAGGTATCACATCTATCTTCTGCAGCATCCGGAAGAAAGCTCTTCTTCCTTTGCCATGGGACAAAAGCCATGGGTTTTTCTCTGATTAGAACACTTAAGGTCAAGTTCCCACTGTGGAAGCTATCATTGAGGCTGGGGGGATGCCATTCCATGATTGGCTTGGCACAGATGATAAAGGGATGAGATTACACTCCGTACCCTGCGGTACCCCAAAGTCCAGGCTCCTCCACATGCAATCTTGTCTTCACATCTGTGTCCCCAAAGCCTGGCACATTTGACATACAAGAAGATGCTCAGTAAGAGCTTATTGAATGAATGATCCTTGTCGACTGAGGATTATAAAATCTAAGGAGAGAATAAGTGTGTGTGTGAGGGGTTAGAACATCTAATCATTCTCTGAATCAGTTGTTCAGTTAGTGGTATTTTCCCAGATATTCTTTTCAATGAAATCCCAGGTTGCAAATGCTGACCTTCACCTTTTCCCGGAGAGGAGCTTGCTTCTCCTGGTCACACCTGGGAAAGCCTAAATACATCCCCTTGCCCGGCCTCGTGAGCTGTCTGAAGGCTGCCGATGCTGCTTCCGCTGCCTCTGCACAGCTCACTCAAGCCAGGGAGCATGAGAGTCAAAAATCCAATTCAACTTTTAATCATTGAGTCCAATAAGGGAGATGAAATTTATCTCTTTTTTCTTCTTTTTAGACAGAGCTTCACTTTTGTCACCCAGGCTGGAGTGCAATGGTGCAATCTCGGCTCATGCAACCTCCAACCTCCAACTTCTGGGTTCAAGTGATCCTTCTGCCTCAGCCTCCTGAATAGCTGGGATTACAGGCGCCTGTCACCACACCCAGCTAATTTTGCATTTTTAGTAGAGACCCAGTTTCACCACATTGACCAGGCTGGTCTCGAACTCCTGACCTCGGGTTATCAGCCTGCCCCAGCCTCCCAAAGTGCCAGGATTACAGGCATGAGCCACCACGCCTGGCCTCCTTTTTGTTTTTTGTTTTTTTTAATTAGAGTGTGTGGAGAGGGAAGCCGTAGGCAGCCATCCTGAGGGATGTTCTCTGCAGCTGACACCGATAGCTTGACAAGCTGAGGATACAAAGTCTAGGGGAGTGGCCAGGCTGCACCTATAATCCCAGCACTTTGGGAGGCTGAGGCAGGCTGATAACCTGAGGCCAGGAGTTTGAGACCAGGCTGGCCAACATGGCGAAATCCTGTCTCTATTAAAAATATAAAACTTAGCTGGGTTTGGTGGTGCCTGCCTGCAATTACAGCTACGTGGGAGGTAGAGACACAGAAATCACTTAAATCCAGAAGGTGGAGATTTCAGTGAGCCAAGATCCCACCACTGCACTCTAGCCTGGGCTACAGAGTGAGACTCTGTCTCAAAAAAAAAAAGTCTGGGGGGAGCAGAGCCATGGCGCCCACGAAGAGGGAAACTGACCCCAGGGTGTGGCAGAGGAGGTGTAACAGCCGAGCCCCACATGTCAGAGAACCCCTGTCCTGGGCCCACTGGGGTACACTGCATGGCAGGTGAGGGAGACAAGGAAGCTAGGTCACACAGCATTCAGCCCGGGCTGCCCAGAGCCCCCATGACCAACACTCAGGAGTGGGATGTCCATTCAACAGTGCCTCAATCTAGGGGGGAACAGGGAACCCCAAGCAAATAACCCCAACAGATCACTGGGATTGAGTCCCACACAGCTTGCTGGTAATGGCCTGAATGGCCCATGGCCTCCTCCAACTCACTGTGTCCAAACACAAACTTATCACCTCGTTCATGCCTGCTGCTCCCCCAATCCTGACTCCAATCTCTGTAACAGCCCCTTCAGCCCCCAAGACTTCCTAATGAGCTGCTTGGGCATCATCCTAGACCCCCACCCCTATCTGCATGGCCCTTATTTACCAAGACCTATTGAGTCCATCATTGCAACATCCATCACCTCTCTTGACTCCCAGCTGTTCCCATCCCCTCTCACCTGAACTGGCCTTTCTGCTCCAGTCTTGCCCCCTCCAATCCTCTCATGGTGTCACCAAACCTGTGCTTCCAAAACACAGGTCATATCCTGCTATTTACCTCCTCAAAAATTTTCAGGGCTCCCCACAGTCTACAAAATAAACTCTGCATTCTTCATGGAATACCCAAGACCCATCACTTGTCATTCTGTTCTCATTTCTGGTGCATAAGGAGCCGTGTTCTCAGAGCCAGGGGATGCTTTCCTGTCTCAGAGCCTTTGGTTGTGCTGCTCTAGACGCAGGGCCTGCCTTCTCCCTTTCTCTTCCTTCCGAAGTCCGTAAGGTCTTTTAGGCTGACTGACTGCACCACGGTAACCTCTGTGACCTGCACATACACTCCAGATGAGTTCCTGTAAATAGAAAGCCTGAAGTAATTGGAAAATCACAAGAGGATAAGAAATGATCAACCCCTGCAGCATGTAATTAACTTTGAGGCATTCTTATATTGTTCCTTATTCCCACCTCAACTGATAAGGCAACTGGACTTTGTAACTGACCTTGGTCAACCTCATGACTCCAGACTCTATGACCCCCATCCCAGCTTGCCAAAACTGCCCTGAACTGTAACTTCTGTAACTTTCCACTGCCTGCCCCAAACCTATAAAACCAACTCCTAACCCACTGCCCTCTGCTGACTCTTTTCCGACTTGGCCCACCTGCACCCAGGTGAATAAACAGCCATGTTGCTCCCACAAAGCCTGCTTGGTGGCGGGGGCGGGGGGAGGTTGGTCTCTTCATTTAGAGTGTATGTTTAACAAAGTCCTTCTCATTTTCCAGGCTCCTGTTTCAACGCCTCCTCCTGCAGGCACCTCCCTGGGGGTGTGGGTTCAAGGGTGGGTGACTGTTTTCTTCCTCCCACCACTGCCCCATGCATCTCTATTTCAACATGCTTTTCATTTGGCCCAGGGCAGTGAGGACAGTGGCCTGCTAGCTATATTCAGCATTTATGTTGTATCAGGTACAGCCAACGTAAATTTCCACCCATGATCTCATTGAATCCACACTGTTAGGAGAGGTGGTTTATCCTGTTTCACAGACAGGAACCTGAGGCTCAGAAAGGAGAAGTGATTTGCCCAAGCAAGTGACAGAGCAGGTTCCACTCTGCATATTCTCATAGAGTCCAGCAACGTTTCTCTTCCACCTCCCCGCACAAGGCAGCCCCGGGTGGGAGAACACTTGGGAAACCCATCTACGCTCTGCTTTATTTAAAGGGCCCTTGAGTTCCGAAGCAGGCTGGCAAAGCACACTCCTGTGATCACTAATTCACATTTCTCCTCCCTCCCTGGCCCCTGCCTTCCCAAGGCCTACCATGA